ACTGATATTGACTTGCAATATCTGTCAAGACGGTCGTTGACACCAACTGCCCTTGACAACCATTCACTGCCAACTCTCCTTCTAGGCAGGACACCACATATGATAGGGATCCCTCCCTTAGACCTAATGCGATCTATAGCTGCCTTGAACTTATCAAGAAGCTCCTCGCTCCTACACCGGCCAATATCATTGCCTCCTGCACTGAGGCAGATAATGGGTTTGTTCCCATTACCAGACAAGATATTGTCCATCCTGTCAATTACATCCCCCACCCCAGCTCCTGGCAAACACACCCTCATCCTATTTTTGTTTTTACCACAAAAAGCCCTGTCCAAGTACCTTACCTGTCATATTCGGTTTAAACACGCACAAATACACTAGAAAATACATTTTTTACTTGCTAAAAGTGAATGGTGTGACAATGCAAATTTACCAATTACTTTTTACTAAATAAAAATGCCTGAGTACAATACTGCATTAAAGAAAAAGTGGTAAATTTTTCTTGTAGCACCGTTCACTTGCAGCAAGTTAAAAATATATTTTTCTAGTGTATTTGTGTGTGCTGAGACCGAATATGACCTTCCTTTTTGGCGGAAATTAGCCGGGTTTTTTTAGCGATTTTTTTTCGTTTGACGTTTTCCGAGAAAAAAAAGTGCCTAAGCGACTAACAAATACACAATAAAACACTAGAAAAACAATAACCAAACCAAACCTAACCTAACCTGACCTGACCTGACTTAACTGACTCTCACCATATGATGGAACCACCTATTTCTTAGCTTATTGGCCTGATTGCGGACATGGATTCTCACTTAACAGGGGTATAGGCGGGCAGCTTCTTCCAAGAATTTGTGAAGAACATCACCAGAAGAATCATGATAGAATATATATCTTCAATTCCATAAAATTGAAGTTACACCCATTGCAGGCTTCCATGGTGGGAACTTATTTTGAATTTCGAAATATGAGACCAAAAAGAAGTCAACCCTCACTTTACGCGGTTAATGTAACCCACAGGGTACCGCGGAAAGTGAGAAACGCGTAAAGTGAATAACATAACATATGGGATTAAATGAAATAGAGACCAGCTGACCCCCAAACTCCACTTTTTCCAACACAATACCTATGTTCTAGTAAAAATAACATCTTAATTTTATGATGGTACATGCACACAATTAATACTTAGGAGAAATAGAGAAATGCAGTTGCCAAGTTAATGTCCATTCAAATAATGGACTCCACTCCCTCCCCCTCTTCTCACAGTACACTCACTGGCTCTTCCCTCTGAGAAATTTTTGGGGGAAAACCAGGTATAGTAATAAATAATACCTCAAACTAAAGTTAGGATAATATAATTGACATTGCTGGATTCCTTGTAAGACCAGGAATATTTTGAATATAAATGTCATATATTTTTCACAAAAGATAACATATTTACTCAGAGTAAACATTACATCTAAAATTTGTATGTCTAATGCAAAATCTATGATGTTTATATTCAAAATGATCATCAAATTGTAAGAATTCCAGCAATGTAAATTATATTCTGGCCGGGTAATTTGTATGAATTTTATGAGCTAAAATAAAAATCTTCAGTTAATAAAAAAAAAATATTCTTCACACGGTAACAGATGGTCGGTCGCCGGTCCCTCCCTCCCTCCCCCCCACCCCCCACCAACGTCCCTACTAGATAAATGTGTGGGAATACCAGACTGTTTACCTTTTTAGTAATAAATAATAAATCAGACTAAAGTTAGGATAATATAATTGACATTGCTGGATTCCTTGTAAGACCAGGAATATTTTGAATATAAATGTCATATATTTTGCACAAAAGATAACATATTTACTCAGAGTAAACATTATATCTAAAATTTGTATGTCTAATGCAAAATCTATGATGTTTATATTCAAAATGATCATCAAATTGTAAGAATTCCACCAATGTAAATTATATTCTGGCCGGATAATTTGTATGAATTTTATGAGCTAAATAAAAAAATTATACTTCACCCGTGTAAAGGGGTACACCCACCGCGGAATGTGAGCATCCTGGGTTCTGGCAGGGCACTGCGTAAACGTGGAAACGCGGAATGTGGGACCGCGTAAAGTGAGGGTTGACTGTACTCGAATTTGATTGGGTCAAAAATACCGCGAATTAAACCCAAAAACATTTTAATTGGTTTCAAAATAAAAAAGGCTTTTGATTGGCCGCGTGACGTGTACAGCAACGCATGCGCAGGATGATTTATGAAGGGGACCAAGAGACACGCAGTGTTGGAGGAGAGGCAGACGATAATGGCGGGATGTTAATGGAAGAAAATAGAAAATATTTTGGAAGAGCTATCTCCGTTATTATACATTTCCGCCGGTAGGAATGAACGGTGTTACAAGAAAATAATACCGAAAAAGTATTGGAATTTGTTAATGAAAAGGGGATCCGGTCCCCCAGGACCCCCCCCCCCCCTGGATCCGCCCTTGTCATCCTACACCGTTATCTTAGCAGCCATTTCTTCAACCACTCTTGAAGCTCACAGAAGTCTTTCTGCAGCTCTTCACAGTCTGTTTGGTTCTTAATTTCCCTGAATAATAAAAATCGTCTGCAAATATTAAATTTTTGCATGGAGGAGTGCATAGCTAAGTTCAGGTATGTTATTTATGAAACAACAACGGGCACACTACACATAACGAGTTTGTACCATTAATCATCACTGCCTGCAGTAATGCAGAGTCTCCGATCCACGCTAGGAGCTGTGGGGTTTTTGGTTGTTTGGTTCACACTCAGGATGGAATGGAGAAAGGAAACTCACAATGTGCTCTCTATATACATGTTGTATTGGATGTACAATGCAGCTTGGTGCTGGGAAGGCAGCATGGTTACAAGCGTGATGTAGAGAGAGCTGGTTGGTGAGGATGCTCACAGGAGGACAGCTTGTGGGTCGCCATGCTCGCTGGCGGGAGCGAGGATCGCCAGGCAGGTGGGGGAGGAGGAGGAGGACCGCCAGGCAGGCGGAGGAGGAGGTGTTGCTGGCTGGTGGTGTAGGTAGAAAAGAGGCAGGTCACCACGAGGTCAGGTCTTAAATAGCGGGGGTTGGCGTGGCTTAGTAGTTGACCCCCGCTCCGTGATGTATGGCAGCGCTGGTTGACCTAGACCACGAGGCATACACTGGAGAATTGGTGGGGTCGGCTACTCAGCGACAAACAGCGTTTGTAGGGGACAAATCCACTACAATACTCCCCCTTCCCTCCAGGCGGTGTAGGAGACTTGTTGTCTGCAGCGTTGCTTAGCACATGTGAGGCAGAACAGGCGGTGCATGCCTCATGTGAGACAACGGCGATGGCGTGGATGAGCCTGTCGCTGGATACAACTGTCTAGATACACACTATCTGTGGGAGAAGAGAGGGAGAAAAAGGGTGTGTGGAGGCGATGAATGCTGTGCTTCCCTCATGGCAGGTACAGAGTCGTCAGATGCGCCTGCTGGGGTGTGTGGGCCTGGGTCAGGAGCAGGGGCTGCGTCAGCAGAAGCGGATGAGGGCTCGTGACAGCAGCTGGGTCCACGACAACAGCAGGGTGCAGGACATTAGCAGGGAGTACCTGAGGGAGAAAAGAGGGGTGTGTGGGTCCGCACTCAGGAACAGAGACCGCATCAGGGGCGGCAGGGGTTACTGCTGGGCCGGGGTCGGCGTCTGAGGCAGGACGGGTGTGCTGGGGTCGGTAGGACGTGGTGCTTGGGGCAGGAAGAGGAGCTGGTGTCTGCTTAGAGTAGCAGAGCTGCTCTAGGGTGTCTAACCTGCGGTGTAGAGACAGTAGTTGTAGAGCCGATGAGAGCTGTACTGTGTGGATAAGCCAGTCTTCCATGTTGCTTGAAGACTGGGAGCGTGATCAGTTTCTCCTCCATCCTGTGTGAGTGTGAATCTCCGAGAGTCACCATTTGTGGGGTATGAGATTGTTTGGTGTTCACTCAGGATGGGTTGGAGAAAGGAAACTCACGATGTGCTCTCTATATACATGTTGTATTGGATGTACAATGCAGCTTGGTGCTGGGAAGGCAGCATGGTTACAAGCGTGATGTAGAGAGAGCTGGTTGGTGAGGATGCTCACAGGAGGACAGCTTGTGGTTCACCATGCTCGCCGGCAGGAGCGAGGACCGTCAGGCAGGCGGAGGAGGAGGAGGAGGAGGACCGCCAGGCAGGCGGAGGAGGAGGTGTTGCTGGCTGGTGGTGTAGGTAGAAAAGAGGCAGGTCACCACGAGGTCAGGTCCTAAATAGCGGGGGTTGGCGTGGCTTAGTAGTTGACCCCCGCTCCGTGATGTATGGCGGCGCTGGTTGACCTAGACCACGAGGCATACACTGGGGAATTGGTGGGGTCGGCTACTCACCGACAAACAGCGTTTTTAGGGGAGAAATCCACTACAGAGCCTAGGACACAAAGTTAAGGTCGAGATTAACGAATGGCAAATTTTCCCTGCCCAATACTCACTGACCCGCCAATTTTTTAATTACGAATTTATTTCATTGGGAATATATACTCTGAGTCTGAGATAATTCAATCTTTTGTTCCCCAATCACCCGAAAGATCGAAACGCCCTATGCCCACATGTATGTTAAAAACCATTGCTCTTAAGAGCTGGAGACAACGAGTAGTTTAATTCTAAAATGACTTCTGAATCTGAATAAGCAAATAAGAAAAATAAACTTTAAAATTAAAAATATACATAGTATTTTTGGATCACCTGAAGATTTAACATCGCAGATTATTCATGAATAGGTAAGGGTGGTTACTGGTTTGGCTTCAAATGACACGTTCTTACATAAAATATTGTTTGTTAATAAATATTTAGTCTTTGAATTATTTACTATACATGAAAATTTTCAGTGTATATGTATGTAATTTATGTAATTAAAATATTCAGAACAGATATAAAATTAGTTTCCCTTTGAAATTCCAAGATAAATTATTTTGTGTAACCCTGGTATAAACTTGGTATGGGTGGCGAGGAGGCAACACATGTGTCAGATGTAAACAACACTAGTGACGGTGTGAGGCAGTAAAACATTGCTGATACTTAGCTATTTTATGCTCTAGTAAGAACACATTGTGCATTTAATTCTTGTTATTAAGGTTATTTTTAAGGAAATATCTTTGTTGTTGGAATTTGAAAGCCAGAATTGTATAGGTAAGCTCCTGGAAATAAACACCTGACAGATTTGTTGGCTATCCTTGGTCAAGTTGCTTATTGTTTACCATTGTTGTTCACCTGTTTCGCCATGTCTCGTCACACAGAAAACGGTAAATTAAGAAGAAAACCCAGAAATTCAAGACGTGGGTTGGGTCAAACGATGAGCAAGACAGGAGGATGTATGCAAGAGCCAGAAACCAAGCAAAGATAGAGTGTAGGAGGGCTGAAAAGGAGTTCCAAAGGCTGGTTGCACGCGAGGTCAAGTCAAACCCAAAGGCGTTTTACCGCTATGCAAAGTCGAAATTGAAAACGCGAGTAGGAGTATCAGACCTGAGGCTTGAAGATGGTAGTTACGCAGATTCTGACCAGGATAAAGCTGAGGCATTGAACAGCTTCTTTTCCTCAGTGTTCACAAGAGAGGATGCAACTAACCTTCCTGCGTTTGAGGACAGACGGTTCGACACAGCACTGACCCACATTGTGTTCACAGAAGAGGGTATTAGAAATAAACTGTCCAGGCTAAAGGTCCATAAGAGTCCTGGACCTGACATGGTGCATCCTAGAGTGCTAAGGGAGCTGTGCAACGAGCTTGCAGAGCCCCTGAAGATTCTGTTTTGTAAATGCCTGGATGAACAAATGGTCCCCAGTGAATGGAAAGTGGCTTATGTGAGTCCTATCTTCAAGAAGGGCGATAGTCACTCCACGAACAACTATAGACCGGTGAGCCTGACCAGCATAATATGTAAAGTACTTGAGAGTATTATCAGAGATGCAGCGATGGAACATCTACTACGAAACAACCTTGTAAAAGATTGCCAACACGGTTTTATGCCGGGGCGCTCTTGCTTGACACAATTGCTCAAGGTATTGGATATTTGGACCCATATTCTAGAACGGGGTGGTAATATCGACAATATTTACCTAGATTTTGCCAAGGCTTTCGACAGTGTACCCCACGAAAGGCTGAAAATCAAACTGGAAGGGTACGGAATTCGGGGAAATGTCCTAGCGTGGATAGAAGACTTTCTACATGACCGCAAGCAATGTGTGGTGATTAATGGCACGAAATCGTCATCTGTACCTGTAACAAGTGGGGTACCGCAGGGTAGTGTATTGGGCCCGCTGTTGTTTGTTTGTTTCATAAATGATATGCCTGACGTTGTACACTCCTCCATACAAATGTTTGCCGATGATGGCAAGTTATTTCGGGAAATTAAGAACCAAGCGGACTGTGAAGAGCTGCAGAAGGACCTCTGTGGGCTCCAGGAATGGTCGAAGGAATGGCTGCTGAGATTCAATGTCACGAAGTGTAAGAGGATGCACCTGGGGCGTACCAACGGTAAGGAGGCGTACCATATGTCCCAACGGGATGAAGAAAATGTACTAGTTGAGACTGTGTGAGAAGGACCTAGGTGTGTATGTTGACAATGAGCTGAAGTTCTCGGGCCATTGTGAGAAGAAGGTAAATCAGGCAAATAAATTATTGGGTCTTATAAGAAGGTCGTTCAGATATCTAGACGGTCCGTCCCTCGTGACGATCTTCAGGAGTGAAGTGCTTCCCCATCTGGAGTACTGTCACCCCATCTGGTCCCCGAGATATGCTAGGGACTGTCAGTTGGTTGAAAATGTTCAAAGGAGGGCCACCAAACTGGTGCCTGCACTTCGGCATCTCAGCTACCCTGAGAGATTGGAGCGCCTGAACTTGCCTAGCTTATACTACAGACGGGCAAGGGGGGACCTAGTTGAGGTTTATAAGCATCTCAGGGGGCACTACTCAGTTGAGTGTCCTTACTTGGAGCTGGCGGACGCTCGCCCCACAAGGGGTCACAGCTCAAGATTGAAGAAGCCGCAAGTCCAGAAAACCGTGAGGGCCTTGGAGTGTTGTGACGGCACCGAGTCTCTTTCAAGAGAAGACTTGACCAACACTGGAGCGGGTTCAGGTACATTCAGGAGCCGGTGCATGCCCAGTATTTGCCAACAGTGCGTGACAGAGACGTGACCGATCGCCCGGGCGGCTAGCGAGCCGACCTTTTGGTGAAGAATATAAAGGAAAAGAGACGTGACCGATCGCCCAAGCGGCTAACAAGCCGATCAGTGGCGAAGAGGATAAAAAAGTAAAAAGGTAAAATTATTGTTACGGTCATCCACCTATTTGGAAGTTGGAATCCCACAAGGGGCCACAGCTCTAGGTCGAAGCCGCAAGTCCAGAAAACTGAGGGCAAACTTTTCGGAGTGAAAGTTGTGAACTCTTGGAACAACCTGCCAAAGAGTGTTGTGACGGCACCGAGTGTGAGTTGTTTCAAGACCAGATTTGACCAACACTGGAGCAGGTTCAGGTACATTCAGGAGCCAGTGCATGTCCAGTACTTGTCAACAGTGCGTAACAGATGTGACCAACCGCCGAAGCGGCTAACTAGCCGATCAGTGGCGAAGAGGATAAAAGTAAAAGTTCAACACATAAAAAAAAAACATGGAAAAACATGATTTCAACCTAACCTAATAAAATGAGTAAAATTATCGTTTCAGCCATCCAGTGATTTTTAGGATTTTAAGTTTTGGAATCCGTAATTTAGACAATTCTAAAACACTCTTCTTCTATTGCATCTCATCCGCTCATGATTACTTTAAGAGAAAATCGCAAAAAAAGGAAAATCATCATATTCATTCTATGTTGTTGGAAGTTGAAATTGTATTTTTCCCATATTTGTTTTTTGTTTTTTGAACGAATCTGACCTTCAATTTTACTGCTAATCACGCCAAACCTAACCTAACCGAGGTAAAGTTATCATTTTGGTTATCCAGCGATTTTTAGGATTTTAAGTTTTGGAATCGGTAGTGGTTACTTTAATTAGACTCAGAAGATTCAGAATTGGGGTCATTAAGGTCATCCTCCTCATCATCCACAGGACGCACTGGACTAAAGGTGTTTGTCAGCTTTATAGCTACACAGGGCTGGTTACAGTTCGTGCAAGTGACCTCAGTGGGCAAAACATAGTGTTTGTGGAGAAATTTCAACGCCTCATCATCCTTACCATAATATTCAACATCACAGCCATTGCACAAGGAAGACACCTTGGAAATAAATTCAAATTCAAGGGGGTTGCAGCGGAGACCAATACTGAGCTGTTATTGGTTGATCCAAAATCATACCTACCAATTAACGTGTTAGATTATTCCAAAGAACATCTGTGCTTGTGCCAGACTCTGGCACATGTGGGATACAGAATACAGTAATAACCAACACACGAACACACAGGATCTCTGTGGAACAGTGGTAACATCAACAAGAACTTATAAAATCCAAAAAATTCTTGCAATTTTCTTTGAAAGTAATTATGAGCAGAAGAAATGCTCTAAAGGAAAAGTGTCTTGGAATTCTCCAAACTACTGATTCCAAAACTTAAAATCCTAAAAATTGCTGGATGACCAAAACAATAATAATACCAAAAAAACTGTATGCGCCTACGGCCTACGTGCTCCGTATGTTTACTTTGTTCATGCTAAACTGTATAACTTCAAAATTTATAAACAAGTGTATCCAATTGTAATCTGTTTGACAATTTTGCTGAATAAATATTAATAATGGGGAGGCATACCGTCGAATTTTATAACGTTTTTTTTTTATAGGGCATTCCTGACAAAAATTTGTCAAGAGGCATCGTGCTACTGTTTTTTATGAAAAACAAGGGTATACTGTATTACCAAACTGGTAATACTTGATGAGAGTGGTCTAGTCTTAGCAGTAACCGGAAAAGATTTCTCCATAAAAGATAAAAAGTTTTCGAGGTAATGTATGGGAACACTGCTACCACAAGAAAAAGTTTACAGATTTGTTTAACATTTTCACAATACAGCTCCTCCCCGACTTACGACAGGGTTAGGGACCCAAATCCAGGTCGTAAGTCGAAATGGTCTTGAGTCGAAAATGATTAAATAATACATAGAAAATCTAAAATGGGTGTCTCTTTTTCTTCTGAGCACCACAAACTTTCACTTTTAAGCTTGCCAGCCATTTTAAAGTGAATTATAAACGAAAATTTTGTCAGTACACAGCGCAATCACTGATGCTGGGATTCGAAAATACATAATTTGACAAAATTTTGGTATGACTGAGGCGGTCGTATGTCCGGGTGGTCGTAAATTGAGTAGGTCGAAAGTTGGGGAGGAGCTGTATGTTCATATCATTATGGCAGTGGATATTTTGCTGTGATCGGCTAAGTTATACTAATGCTATTTTAACGTGTGCTATGATTGGTTAATTGTCCAGTACCGCCAAACAACACAAGAACTATATTTGACGTGACTCTGGCGGCATTTGGCATTTATTTAGCTGAGTCGATTGTTGTGTAGCTGTAAACATACCTATCCATATTTCTGTTGTGCATGGAAAATTATCATTGTAAAAGAGGCAACATTTACCAGAACCTGATCTAACCAACCAAAGAAACCTAGCTCGCCTTACCTAACTTTCTAGCCAGGGGGCGGATTCCCCCCCCCCCCTGTCATATTAAACAGAAAGTACTTAGCCAATAAGAGCACACTCACAGTAAAATAGCGTTAATAGGAACTTGGATGGTTACGGCAAAATAGCCACTATGTATCATTATAAGGGTATTATTTCAGTTTCACTCCCAATTGGGTTAGGGCAATTTTGGGTTCACCAGAAGTTATGTCTCGTCAATTGCAAGAATTTTTTCTAATTCCACTTCCGTCACAAATGGATAATCTGATCAAGGGGAGAGAATATACCAAGAGAAAGAAACTACTGTAGACTGGTCTAATCTCTCCCTTTTGTTGTTGGTTTACTCAATCCCTTTGATCCATACCAAGTTAATAATTCTTTATCAGAAAAATACTTTTATCCAAATATGTTTTGCTCAGTATTAGTTACTTGTTGTCCTTCTTAATGAAAGTGCACGAATGGGGAGCAACTAGATTGGGAGGATGCTTATATCGAATCTGACTTGTGCGCAGTGGTCAAGAGGAGGTTTTGGAGGGGGAGCAGATAGACTGTGACACTGGCTTTAGCAGGTACCTGATAAAATTTTATTCGTAGAAGACAATAGCTTTCTTGCCCTGAGAAACATAAATTCTTATTTGTGATTTACTCAGGTTAAGGAGGTGGTGGTGATGTTCTTTTAGTAATGAAAAATGTGTCTTATATTATATTTTGGTAAGATTCAGAAAAGGTCAACCATGGAACTATACAGTATTGATTTGTATACCAATAGGGAGATGAGCAAAAAAAAAAAAACGGACACCTGTTCTTAACCCGGTAACTGCGACATATATTCTCGAATGATAAGCAGAGGAGTATGGCATACATCCTGGAATTCAGAGCATTTTGAATACAGCACGCAAAAGTTTTTATATCTTGCATGGTCAAGTATGGGGTGTTTACACTCGGCAGTTTCTTAAGACCCCCCACAGAGATGTACATTTTCTCTATCCTCCATTTCAGAAACCGAACGAAATTCCATATTGATATTGTATATACAGTATATTTAAAATTAAAAATGAAAGAGTATGTGTTACCGTAAGATATACTGTATGTACCTACTTATAGCTGAAATATTCAAATTGTCAAATAAGTCAGGTGTTGGGGTGAGCAATAGGGGTTAGATTCCTTTTTCCTCTCTGTGAGAGACTGACGGCCAAATTAAGGTAAGTAATGGACTCATATTTGCTTTCCACGTTCTTTTATATACGTTCATTTAATCCACAAGAGTTAAAATGATGTTTGGGGGAAAATCGATATACTGTACGTACATGTTTTTTTTGTGCACTGGGGATTGATCAGCGAATCACTCTGCCACAGTTATCGGGTTAAATAATACACTGTTTTGAGTTTAGTATAGGTTTGGTTTTGTCAGTTTTTTTGCTTGCTTTAACCCCACAATTCTCTTCTACTTCAAAGGACTTCTTACTTTGTGATCAAAATTGCATTTTTTAAGCGAGATGTGAAATTAAAAAAATAAAATACAGCATGCCTTGACAATTCGCAGATGACACCCTGGATGTACCCAAGAATGTCTAAGGGTAGTTTTAAAGTTCCTGGCATTTTTTGTGGCCAGGACAGGGAGCCATTCGTTCTAGAAACAGTAATTTCTTTTACCTGTATTCTATATGTGTGTGTGTGTCTACACACATACACACATATATACAATACCGGTAAAATAAATAATTGTCCTTAGGGCAAATACATAAAGGGAATATACATTTCTTTGCACACGAGTAAAAATGTACCCCCCTCCCCTGGTCAGCAAATTTTATTCGCTGATTTGGCTATTTGTGGCCATTTTGAGAACCTAACCCCCGCGAATTTTAAGGGCATGCTGTATAATAAAAATATATAGATTTCTGACAAAAACACTAGAGTAAAGTATTTTTTTTTTCTATTTCCCTGTATACAAATCAATACTGTATAGAGTTCTGTGGTTGACCTTATTGATTCTGTACCCTACATTTTTCTTTTCCAGATTTGTTTGCTATACATACATAGCCATGAGCTTCAGTGAAAGCAAAGCGTTAATTGAAGAAGGGGACACTGTTATATTATACATTGGTGTCTCACAAATCTATGCCCTGGAGGTAAGATATTGTCAGTTCTTAAGGGGTTATATTTCATTAAATAAGCACTAATCCCAAAAATATAGGTATTTTTTGTTAAAATCATAATAAAATTCCAGTTGGGCATAAAACAAATTTTTACCCTTTATTGTAAGGTTGAAGAATCCAGATATCAGGAAAATATTCTACAATGTGATTTATTTACTGTCCAGCCCTTGCAAAAATGGTTACTATGTTCCCTTGGAAGGATAACAAACAATTGGTATGAGGCCGTGCTTTAACTGTTGTTATCTTGGCAATAACCTTTCTTTCTAATAGCACAACCAAAGAAAATGGTGAAGCAAGGTTCAAGGAGTTCCCCAAAACGACAAAAATGTAGTGTAATGTTCTTACAGGTTTTGTTTCATTCCATTAGTCAGACTCTTGGCTTTTTCAGCAGTAGTGTTCCAATATTTTTGTTAGTTGCCCTTTGCCAAGTGGCTCTCATATTTGATGCTACTTTTGGGATTTTCAATGATTTAGTGGCCTCTCCAAGATCAGTGTTGATTCAGTGATACTGTACAGTATTGTATTTTTGTATATACCAGTTACCCTCCCCCATTACCACTGCTAGCCTCTATTTAAGGGGGCATGTGCAATAGTTACCAGTCAGGGCATTTGGGAAGAAGCTTTGTTAATCACTGTATGTTTCATGGTTCAAACCCTTCTTTCCTCTTAGATAGTGGGATTATACATACTACAGTGCATTCTAATGTCATGCTTTGCTCTTTGTAGCTTTGTCCTGTACAGGTTGTCGACTGTAAGGTTTTATAATTTTCTATATAATATATACAATAGGTTTTCATGTATTTCAGGTGAAACCTAAAATAACCAACAAGCTTGGACAGCCTGTTGACAATGTTTTTCAAACACGCTATGGATCACTAAAAGTGATGAATCTCATTGGAGTGAAGTTTGGATCCAAGGTGAGCTTGTCCAAAGGCTGGGCTCATGTGCTTTACCCAACTCCTGAATTATGGACAGTGACACTGCCACATCGTACACAGATCCTCTACACACCTGACATATCCATGGTAAGTTCTAAAGAAAGAGTTGATTTTAAGATCATAATTTCTTACTGAATTATCAGATGACTTCTGATAGACTGTTATGGGGAGGAAGTCGACATGTAAAAAAAGATCTGATATCTAATTTTTTTTCTCCTGTGTGTTTTCAGTGAATTTAGCTTGTTTGTGACTTTTGTATTGGTATTATTGTGTGTTGTATAAAAGTCAAGAGATATGCCCCATGTAATACAGTGAAACCTCTATTTAACTGACTATATGGAGAGGAATGTCTATTATACCAAGGGTTTGACGTGAAACCTCCATCTAACGAACTGTATTGAGATGAAAGTCTTTTATAAGAGGATCCTTTAAATGTGAAACCCTCCATCTAACGGATTGTATGTAGAGAGAAGTCCGTTATATGGAGGTTTCTCTGTAACAAGAATTTTATGATCTTTATCCATTGACACTTATCATTGTATGGTGGGTGTGTGGGAGAACTTGAGGCTTGTGTACCTGAGGTATGGAGTGTTATGATAGATTATCAGGGTTATACTGTCATGCAGGTTTGAATGAGCAATTGTTCTTGTACATTCATGTACTATTGCCAAAGTGTATATGCAAAAGAGACTCTTGCTGGGTCATATGTGTAGGAGTGTAGTAGTACAGAATTTCTAGGGTTCAGAAACACATCCCTACTTTTCCTTTAAAAAGTAACTTCATCATGCTAATGATTCACTAAGAATTTAACCTCTCTCTCAGTACTTAAATGAATTCTTTAAACTTTCAAATGTAAAAGTACTGTAGTATAGTTTTTCCTTGCATAAAATGAAATTCAACTTAGTTTTTGCCTTTAAGCTTGTAGGATAACTAATCAAACCTTGTGTTTTTCATATTTAGCCTTTGCACAGTGATTTTTTGAGATGGAAAAGAGTATAAATGATTGCCAAATCATACTTTTTGTAATGTTTATGATTAATAGCTTATTAAATCATTATAAAAAGAGCTACAAATACTTAAAGCATGTTAAAACCAACATAATAACATTAAAAAAAAGAAAATTTGCCAACCCTGATTTTTCAAGGTAAATCTTAATTACTTTTTTAATGCTAATTACTTGCTGCCTATGGTTTTTCAAGGTCACTATCTGTTGTTTATGTGTTGTTCTGGATGCACTGTATGTAAGTATTTAGACATTTAATTTTAATTCTGAGAGAAAAAGTGTTTTCTGCCATTTTGTCCCTAATCAGGATTTCACCAATTTTTTTTAAATCTCAATACTGCATATGTACAGTACTGTTGAACATGCTGATTAGGGATCTGTTGTCTGCACTTTGGTATCTATATAATTACTTGTCCAAATGACATCTCAAAAAATTTAATTACTCACTGACTATGGAACAATGAATGATGACTGAGAGAGATAACTATATCATAACCTCTTAGGAGGTAAAGACTGGGATGTTTAGAGGAATCTTTGATATTATTGTATAGGAGTGAGCTGTAGACCCTGGATTCAAGAGAAAGAAACACATTGGAAATGATAAATTACTTTGTTTAGAACAATATTTTGGTTGAGTTGGGGGAGGAGTAGCAGAGTGAAGGAGCCCCATTGCTAAGGGGAAGGCAGAGACAGTGTCCCAACTGGGCTGTGTCGCTCTGATGAGTTTGAAGTATAGAACCTTTTCTGGTCCTGAGGGTGCCGGTTTGAAGAGGTTCAACCTGTATTTGACGGGGATATGTGATTATTAAGCACATATTGTATGTCAATCAAAAATATTTCCTCTTTTTGTGCATGAATGTGATGATGTTGCAGGTAGTGACACAATTGGAGATTGGTCCAGGATCAGTGGTGTGTGAGGCTGGTACAGGAAGTGGATCTCTCTCTCATGCTTTACTTCGTGCTATTGGACCAACAGGCAGACTGTACACATGCGACTTTCATAAGGAACGAGTTCAGGCAAGTTTACTATTCATAAATAAGATGTTGTTGCAGCTGATCTTTAAAGTAAATCTGTTTTGATTATATTATAAATTTCTTTTAAAGCATTTCTGTGTAAAAAGCATGCCTTATAATTATATTTTAACATATGCAGTGCATTGGGTGACTCATGAACAGTTAAAAAGTCAACAGACAACATCCAGGGGAAGGTAGGAAATCTTTGATTAACTCACGGACTTGCGACCTTGCCTTGCCAGCTGTTCCCACCCTGTAGGTTGGCATTAGGAAGGGCATCCAGCCGTAAAACTTTGCTTCATCATGCTTGATGGCAGCTGGGTCACCAGAACTGTGCCCATCCACTGTTCTCTGCTGCATTTTCTGGGCTGTTAACCAGTGTTCGCAGTGGTGAGCAGTGGGGGGGATCCCATTTTGGTTTTACCCAACAGCTGCCAGGTAATGCATGCAAGCATGGAAAATGGCCATAAAACATTGAAGATGAGGGTGTGGATGATTACATTACAATATTTGATAGGAGGAAGAGGACATTTGTTGAATATTATTTCTTGTAATTACAGTAATAACAAAGTGTAAGCATTTTTGGTACCATAATTTAATGTACAGTATTGTATTTATAGGTAGCTTTGGATGAGTTCACTCACCATGGTTTTGGCCAGAGGGTGACTGTGTCCCATCGTGATGTCTATGTTGAAGGATTGGGAGTAGAAAATGAGGCTGATGCAGTGTTTCTAGATCTACCTAGACCTTGGGAAGCTCTTCCTCATGCAGTTTCTTCAATCAAGGCTTCAGGTGGTAGAATCTGTTCCTTCTCACCTTGTATTGAGCAGGTTAGTAAAGCAAAAACAAAATTTTTCTTCTTTAGGGCTATTAAAATTACTACATATATTTTGTGTTCACTTACAAGTTGGCAGGATACTGTACATGCTCTTATTGGAAATTAAAGACATTTGAAAATTATTCATCTGCAAATATACAAGGTACAGTACCACTGGACATTGTTTCAAGCATGTATTCCCACCAAATCATTTAATGTCTTCACAAACTTGGCCTCAATTATATAATTACACTGTATAGTATATATCCAGATGAATGGAACCAAGTAACACAGAACCTTTTTCTGATGATAATTTATTTGTTTATCTTGGTATTACTGTTTTTGTGGGTAATAATCATCCAAGATATACTTGAAATGTACAGAAAGGAAAAATAAGATACAGTACTTTGGTCAAATAATTATGGGTGAGGGGACAATAACAAATATTAAAGGGGCAACATTGAGGGTAGGAGGGCCAGGGGGAGGCAGAGGCTGGAATGGATTAATTAAATTCAAAACTGGCTCCCCAGAGAGATACAAAACCTTGGAGGAGTGGCAAAAACAGCCTGAGAACATTTACACTGGAGGACTGTGGTTGCCAATCCTTGGATATGGGGATGATATGATACTCTGATTGACATAAAAAGATTAGTAACATTTTTAATGTGGTTTTATTACTTCTTAGGGTGATACAGGTAATCCTCGCTTTCTAAACATCCATCATACAAACACCTGCTCATACGAACATATTTCTGTCTTGAACATTTGTTCCATTCATACAAACACAGCTTTTTTAGCATACCGCCACTGATCAGACACTTTAATGAGGGAAAATATTATATACAGTCAACCCTCACTTTACGCGGTTAATGTAACCCACAGGGTGCCGCGGAAAGTGAGGAACGCGTAAAGTGAATAACATAACATATGGGAATAATTGAAATAGAGTCCGGGCCGACCCCCAAACTCCACTTTTTGACGACACGCAACTATGTTGTAGTAAAAATATTATCTTAACTTTATGATGGTATGCACACACAATTAATAATTAAGAGAAATATCAATAATATTAGGTTTTTTAACACTTACATTAGTAGAAAAGATGGCTGGGCACACGGGGATGGGCGGTTGGTTCCGAGGCAGAGGGCAGATTATTGGCCCTCACCTGTATCACTTGTATCACTATCCACCACAGAGGCTTGCAGGGCCTCTTTGTCAAACCCCCCAAAGTTCATATAAGTCCATATCCTCACTATAATTATCACTATCACTGACTTGGGCCAGCTGTGGTGGGTGGCGGGTGAAGAACTGGTAATGTTTTGATGACTGGCCGACCTTGTGCGCACCATGTTCGCGCTGCTTACACAACATGGCGGATGGCGGGAGGTTTGGATCCAAAAATGGCGCGGCTCACCAGCCGCTCTCCGCGTAATGGGGTACACGCACCTCGGAATGTGAGCATGTTAGGTTCCGGCAGGGCACCGCTTAAACGTGGAAACGCGGAATGTGGGACCACGTAAAGTGAGGGTTGACTGTACTGTATTAGTAAACCACATACTTTATTGACCAGTGTGTGTGTGTGAGGTGGTAATGCACATTAGGCGTGGAATAGTAATTATTGAGAGGGAGAGAGAGAACTGGTACAGTCATCTGTTTCACCTCACTTGCATCAAACTGCCATAACACTTCCAGTTTTATATCAAATGTAATAGCTGTATGGGCTCCTTTAGCACTAGTAATATCACTTGCATTTAATGACCTCTTTCCTGACATCTTGAACTTGGGTGACTCTGCACATTCTTGAATATGGTAAATGTAAAAAAATAAAATAAATAAGTAAACTGTATTAAAAACAATCCAAGTCAACCACGAGTACTGGTATGAAATGCGCTAGCAGATGCAGGGCTGTATGATATCATGTGTGCTAAGACATGTGTTACAAAAAAATTATAATTTTAGAAGATGTTTTATTCTGTATTGCGTATTTTATTGAAAATTTAACCCATTTCATTATGGTCATATTTTCATGCTGTATCCCAAAGTTGGCAGTCATTATTTACCATTTACCTATCCAGTCTTCATAATTCCATTATTATGAATATGCATAATGCAGGTGATTGAATTTGAATTTTGGAAATGGCTTCACAATCTAGAGACTCTTGATTTATTATTTCATGGCACACCTAATATAGCATTCTAATTAAGATGTTTCATGTGTCAGATGTAGTACTGTAGTATTGTAATAATATGACCCTGTGTATCTTCTTTTTAATTGGCCTTCTTTTCGTGTAGGTCAGTCGAGCATGTGAGCTTATGGCTTCAATTGGTCTGCAAGAAATTACAACTCTGGAGTGTTTGGCAAGAGAATTTCAGGTGAAATACATCTCTTTACCAGTCTTATCAAATAGGAAAGAGGTATGTTGATACTATTAAGATATATCTTTTGGCTATAGTTGAGTAATTCATGTTTTTTAGTTATGTTTTCATCTCGATCTTTCAAGCTCGTTACTATGTAGTGCAGGGTGGTCACAATCAAAAGCAAGCATTATATAAATTCTCCATTTACCATTATTTTTTCGCCCTTATTGTTGTTACACTGTACTGCTATGGTGTTCCCCTTCCATATCAAGGCCCTAGATATGTCTTGCCTATATTTTTTGAATCACACAGCCTATAATTACCCATCTACAGTACAGTACTTCCATTCCCCAAAATCACTCTACAGGTATCAAGTTTTCTAGTTACAGTATTCACAACCACTGTTGCTTGGATGTCCATAACTATCTCTTTTTAGTGTGTTATTTCCCCATCTTTCCTTAATTAATACTATAGTAGTGTATTTATCATCACTAAAAAGAGATAGATATGGCCATCCAAGCAGCAATGGTTGTGAATACTGTAACTAGAAAATCACTCCAAACCTTTCTGCTCATGGCCTGGGGACAAGGGTTCCGTCATTGTGAAAAATGGCGTCATGTTTAACCGCATCCTCACATGGGTGAGTAGGGCGGGAAGACCAACCACTTGGGTAACCCTGGATTTTTCTGCTCTGGGTCTATTCATAATCACTGTATATATATATATATATATATATATATATATATATATATATATATATATATATATATATATATATATATATATATATATATATATATATATATATATATATATATATATATATATATATATATATATATATATATATATATACATACATACATCAACCCCTCACTATGCGGTTAATTCAACCCACAGGGTACCCGCGAAAGTGAGAAACGCTGTAAAGTGAACAACATAACATATGGGATTAATTGAAATAGAGACCGGGCCGACCCCCAAACTCCACTTTTTGACGACACACAACTATGTTGTAGTAAAAATATTATCTTAACTTTATGATGGTATGCACACACAATTAATAATTAAGAGAAATATCAATAATATTAGGTTTTTTAACATTTACATTAGTAGAAAAGATGGCTGGGCACACGGGGATGGGCGGTTGGTTCCGAGGCAGAGGGCAGATTATTGGCCCTCACCTGCATCACTTGTATCAATTGTATCACTATCCACCACAGAGGCTTGCAGGGCCTCTTTGTCAAACCCCTCAAAGTCCATATCCTCACTATAATTATCACTATCACTGACTTGGGCCGGCTGTGGTGGGTGGCGGGTGAAGAACTCGGTAATGTTTTGATGACTGGGCGACCTTGTGCGCACCCTGCTTGTGCCGCTTACACAACATGGTGGATGGCGGGAGAGATGGCGGGAGGTTTGGATCCAAAAAATGGCGCGGCTCGCCAGCTGCTCTCCGCGTAAAGGGGTACACGCACCGCGGAATGCGAGCATTCCTGTTTTGGCAGGGTACCGCATAACCGGTCGGAATTACTGGATTTTAATTTCTCACTTGACTTGGGGTTTATTAATTATTGGATGGAAATTGCAGTGGAAGCGCCCCTTTGAGAAAAATCCCGAACCAGCACAAGAATACTTAAATTTACTAAACAAAATGAATTGTCCGTAACCCGTGGAAGGATAGCGTCTGTGTCTGGGATGAATGAGACACACTGTAAAATTTAGACACTTATATTCCCTCCAACACTACAGACACAATCAAATAATGGTACACCAACATATGCGCACCTCTTAACCTGAACTTAAAGACACTACTCTGGGGAGTAAAAGTTATACATGATATTGTAATTATTAGAAATTCAGACAGTGCCTCATTAGACAACAATAAACTCAAGTATTAAGAAGTGTTGCTTGCACACATGAAACAGGCCTTAAGGGCTTTTAATAAAATAATATCAACCACTGAGAAAATGGTATTAAAAAAATAAGTTAATAACTCTACAATGAAGAGGCCTTAAGGGCACTTAACAAAATTATATCCAGCACTGAGAAAATGGTATAAAAAAATAAGAACTTATTAACTCCACCCTAAATAGGCCTTCAGGGCACTCAAC